CAGACACACACAAACAGGGGAAAGGGGAGAAAAGGAGGGATCAGGGCCAAAATAAGGGGGGTGGGAACTGTACAGGGAATATAACCAAAATGAAAATGCATACACTGTGCAAAAATGAAAAATAAAAGATGATGTAAGAATTATATAAAATAAAATATTAAAAAAAAAGAATGTCAATAACCACACTACTTATAACAGCCCCAAACTGGAAATCTCCCAGCATAAAATGGATAAACACAGCAGGCCAGGGCCTCCCCTGGTGGCGCACAGGTTGAGCGCTGGGCTGCGAGGCTGCCCGCAGCCTCTGCAGCACCAGTATATTCCCCTGCCACCAGCGAGGGTCCCACAAAAAAAAAACAGCAGGCCATCCGTTCAGTGGAACGCTATTTAGCAATGAAAACAAATCAGCTATATCTTTGTGCAAACACAGACATGCAACTCACAAACAAAATATTAAGTGAAAGAGGCCAGGCAAAAATGAGTAAATAAATGTACTATGAGTTCGTTTACATAAAGTTCAAAACAGGCAAAATGATGTATTTAAAGATACATTCTTTTCAGAAGCAATGATGCCATTACCACAAATTCAGGGGAGTAGACACCTCTGAGGAGAGAGAAGATGTCAGAAATGGGGAGACACCAGGGGAGCATCTGGAGGCTCACAGTGTGCTGCTTGCAGACAAGGGTGCTTGTTACCAGGCGTCCATAAGTCACAGATATAAGCTGTACATCTGTGCACTTGATGTACATTTCAATTTTTTTTAAAGATATAAAGATGGCAGGGCTGGAGAAGGGGGTGGGAGGAGTGGGTGGAAATGATGCAAAGGGTGCTGAAGAAGGGAAATGGAGAATTATGTAGAAGAACGATTGGGTGTCATCTATAACCAATTAAATACCAAGATGTATACAGAGCTGTGAGTGTGTGTGTGTGTGTGTGTGTGTGTGAGAGAGAGAGAGAGAGAGAGAGAGAAATTCTCTTAAGTATCAATCAAGGTGGCTTAAGTTGAGCAGTGGAGGAGAAAAAGAAACAAAGCAAAGAATCAGATGTGATGGGAAAAAAGGGGGTGACAGGGTGGGGCAGGTTGGGGGCTTTGTGCAATTGAAATAATGGGGCAGCTGGAGAGAACAGCGGTGCCTAGAGGCTCTGCGGGCAGCCTGCACTATCAGGGAAGAAAGATCTGGCCATCATCAGTCACTTTAAGACTGCAGATAGCAAATTGGTCCTGGTGCCCAGATAAGGGCAAATGAAATGTCTAACGCCAGAACAGAATCACTCGCATGTTCCTAAAAACTTTAAGGATCACAAAGGTAAAATAAACATTTGTTTTGGAAATAAATAATGAGAATGGAAAATCAAAGCAGGCCAAGGGGTTTCCCAGGCAGCAGGCCTGACCTGCTACACATTCCTGGTGTCTGGTTTCAACCAGGCACTCACTGCAACTTGGCAAACCTTTCCTTCCTTTCTCCTTGATTTCCTGGCACATTCCAGGCAGCTCCACCCTGTGAACCAGGGATTCTACTCTCCATCTTCTCTCTCTGCTGCTGACCCCCCCAACACCATTGACACAAAGCTGAGTCATTTCCACTTACAATGCCTCCCCGTCAGCAGCCCCCTCTCAGCCCAGCCTCCAGCCTGTCATCAGTGATGTGATAGTCTTAGAAAAAAATTATGGGACTATGAAGTCCCCTGAGGTCCTGGGGAAGAAATAGGTATAGGGTCTGGTCCGTCACTAGTGGAAGTCACTAGTGGAAGAGTCTGAACTGAAACTCACAGGCTGGCTGAGTTTAGACAGTGAAGGACCAAGTCAGGAGCAGGCAGAGTGGAATTAGAAAGTCAAAGGTCAGAGAGGGGCCAGAGATCAGAAACCCAATGTCATGAAGGAGTGTGGCCTGGGAGTTCAGAACTCTGGTGCAAGGTTTGAGGGACAAGGTTTGAGTCCCAGTTCTGGTATTTGCCGGCTCCCTGACTTTGGGCAAATTACGGATCTCTCTCGGACTCATTTTCCTCTGGGGAAATGAGGGAGGGGAAAGGCATAAGGAATGGCAGGGGGTTGGCATAGAAGGAGGATAGGATGGGCATGGCCTTAGGGAGGATGTGGCTGGGCCTTTGGGTGGGGATGAGGAAGGGCATTGAGATGGATGCGGGGAGGGCCGTGGGGATGGTCTTGGGGTAGGCATAGGCATAGGGCGGTAGACTAGGAAAGGCCCAGGAATAAGAACCTATGTGTGAGGCAAGACTTCAAGAGTGAGAGGCTAACACATCTATATCCCTGAAGACGCTGAGCCTGTCAAAGGCAGTGCCCAGCTCGAGCCTGGTATCCTCCGGCAGGATCAAATGAGGAAGAGAACAGGCAGTGTACATGAGCAATATCAACTTCACAGGAGTGTTTGCTGCCTTCTCAAAGCTTGCCGGGGTATTAGCAACCTAAGAGCTTGTGGTAATTCCTGGGATGGAGCAGCCACTGCTGACTGCCACGGTCTGTGTTCCCTCCCAGGCACGCCCTGTGGCCACACCCTGTCCTTCTCATCAGCACTTTCCAAATGTCCCTCCCATTGCCTCCTCCCTTGCTGCTTTCAAACATTCCCAAGTCTTCCCTCCTCTAAAAAATTCTTCCCTTGACCCTGTTTGCTTGACTTCTATTTTTCTCCTTTTCTCTGCCAAAATTCCTCAGGGAGGGGCCTGTACCAGCAGCTGCTCTTTCCCTCACTCCCCAGGGCCTGGCGCCCATCCTCACAGCTAAACTGCAAGGCGGAGAATGCACAGTCATCCAGGGGAGCTAGAAAGTGTGGACACAGCTGCACAACACAGACACACACCCCGATGCACAAGACACACAAAGACGTGCACCCACACACAGAGACACCTACCCACAGCCACATACAGACGCACAGATACAGTCACACACACAAAGATACACAAGCAGAGACATAGGCACATACATGCACAGATAAGCATAGACATGTGTGCAAATATATATCACACAAACACAAGCACACACAGACACACTAACATACATAAACACACAGAGAAGCAAACAGACACATCCCCACACTACCCCATTCCAAGGTGCCAGCCAAGGGATTTACACTCCGATTAGAGAAGACGAGGGAACCCCGGGGTCAGCCATCGCCCAGCTTGAGGACTCTTGGCCACGGATGGTGGCAGCACCAGCCTGGCAAAGCAAGGATGCTAGAATTGCTACATCTAGGGGTAGCTTCAGGTTTTACAGCACCTTCACATTGCACAGTTGGGAAGGAAGCCATCTCTGTGCCCTACAAACATTCTAACTATAAACACTCAGAAAACATCCATCAGGAAATGTCAGCTGAGAAAGACCAAAGTCAGTGCTTACCAGGAGGCTTGGAGGAAGATTGTGACCTTAGGACCCACAAGGTCAACTGTGCAGGAACTGGCTGCCTCCAGCCAGTGATCCTTTCCTGGCAAGTGGCAGAATCTCAACTGGCTTCCCATTCCCTTAAGCTTCATCTTCTTTCTGCCTCTCTCATACCAACCCGACTTACCTCAAGCAAGTGCAAAGCTAGAGAGAGTGGCTTCTAGGGGCCCCAGTTTCCAAAACCTCCACCTTGGGGTGCTGGACCCAGACTTTTCCAAGTGGAGTCTCCTCTCCCCTCCCACCCCCACCGAGAACCCAGAGCCTCCACTGATCGCAGGTTTACAAATTATTAGTCACTGACGTCTTTTATTCCCTGTTCCTAAGTACAGCCTTCCCTTGCTATCCAAAAGTATGCTGTTCCTATGAAACCTTTGTTAAGTCCAAATGCATAAAATGAAGAGGCTGATGGCTATTTTGCTTTGGTTTCTTTCGATTAGTGAAAACAGGTACTAATGTAGGTCTCTTAAAAGTGAAGCAGAATAACTTGAACTTTCCAAAAGCAAGGATACCTGTGTTTTTAAAGAAGCCCTTGAATTTTATGCACCCTCTTGAATACTCATGATTCCCTTTCAAAACATTTATGGTTGGTGCAGCAGTTAATGATCTTCTTCGCTATATCAGAAAGGTATGTACCAATCCTAGTGAATCAGAAAGATGTGTACCAATCCTAGTATATCATGTCCTCTGTCTGAGCTCCGTGGGAAGTCCAGGCATTGCTGGGGGGAACAAATTGAGGAGATCTGCTTGTCAGGGCATCATTTAATAAAGTTAAAATCTAAGCCCCCACGCCTTGCCCAGCAGGAAGGTTTGGGAGGCTTGAATAGATAAAATGGAATTGATAAGGTTGCTATGGGAAACAGGCCTTAAGACAGATCACTTAGACCAAGAATGTAAGAGCAGGGCCAGGACACATTCTGTGTCAAAGGTCAGCACCCAAGACCAGACATACCCGCACATAACCGGCCCAAACCGACTCCCCAGTCATGTAAAGTCAAATGGCTTATAAAGCAAAATGGATGTAAAGCAAAATGGATTATAAAAGGGAATTCCGAAAACTTCTTCCAGCACAGACCTCTCCTGTCTCGCCTGCTGCTTCTCTAGCAGTGTATTTCAATCAATCCACCTTTTCTGTTCTCCACTCTATTTCTGGTGAATTATTTTATGCCTGAATCTCCAGCCTACACCCAATTCTTCCCCACCACATAGTTCTCACCCTCAGCCGCCAATAAGAAACATGGCCATATTGTGTGTGTGTGTGTGCATGTGCTTTGTTTTCATGTTTAAGTAGAGTTTTGTTTTTTCTAAAACCTTGACTGCACACCTGACCCTTTTGAAAAAGCATGCTCACGCCCTTGCCCTTTCAGACAAAGTTCCTCAGAGTCTGAGCGTGGAGCATAGACATCAATCCATTCCACAGAAGGAGGGTGTGTGCCTGAATTGGGAACCACTGAGGGAAAGGAATACCAGGACTGGGAAACCTCACAAGGCCCGTGCATGAGGGGCATGATGCCTCATAGTTGAGGGTGAGGGTTTAGACATTCGTTCTGGGTTTAGACATTCGTCCTAGACATTGGAACCCAATGTTTCCTCCTCCCAGACTGCTACCTGAGAGGTTTCTATGATGCCCCATTCTCCCTTCAATATCTTGGTGTTGTGCCGGATGTTTAGTCTTCGTCTGCAAAAGTCCCCTGTGTCCTTAATCCAACTCCCACTTTGTCTTCTCTTTGCTGCTGCCAGCCATCTTCTCTCTGCTGCCCTCAGGTGGTCCAGGAACCTCAAGTCAGGGGTAAATGGGGTATTGTGACATCAGCAGTTGCCATGTTTCCTACCCTTGACACATCTGCCCTGGTCTCCTCCTAGGTGAGCTCAGCCTGCTCCAGGGTGCAATCTTCAAACCCTGCTAATGGGAACAAAACAGACCTTCTTGCGCCTGACCTACTACTGAGTGCCCTTACACAAGGCACAGCATCTGCATGAGCTCATCTGGGGTCTCTGATTTCAGAGCAGTAAATGAGAAACTTAGTTCATTTCATTAAACAAACACTTATTCCAGGCCAGTCTTGTTCAGCTACAAAGATGGACGAGGCCAGTAACTTCCTTAGTATCAGAAACATCTAGAAAGTCTATTGAGATACAGTAGAACAGGAGGACCCAGGCAGTTGCATTTGCACAAGCTCCTTTCAGTGTTTTTCAGAAACAAGATGCTTTTTGGATGAACAGGAAAGAATGCTGTTAACCAAGAAGACGTCAGGACTCAGCCCCCTTCCCCTCCACCCCAGTGCTTGGCCTCAAGAGTGTGTGCAGCTTGGAACCTCAACGGTGAAAAATTCCCCAAGACTCAAAAAGGATCCAGCTCAGAAGACTAGGAAGTCTGGCCATTAACTGCAGATGTCAGCTTCAGACAGCCTGCAGGAGCCAGGCAGAACTCTCTCCCATGGAACCTTCACACACTAGCAGAATTTCCACTGAAATTTCTCTTCCAGCACCCATTAGTCTTAATTCTCCCCCACCACCACCACCACCACTCAGGTTTCTGCCCACAACCTGTCCGCCCCAGAACCTGAAGGGTCTTGCATGCTGCAACCCTGTGAGTATCCCTCTTCCTCGAAATCGCCAGTATCCCCCATGTCTCCTCCTCTTCAGAGTTCCCTATAAAAAGCCCAGGACTGAAACAAAAACAAAGCAAAACCCCACCAACTGGGAGAACATTTTTGCACACAACACTAATGATAAAGGACTGATCACAAAAATCTGCAAAGAGCTAATGAGACTCAACAACAACAAAGAAAATAATCCAGTCAAAAAATGGGCAGAAGAGCTAAAAAGAAACTTCTCTGAAGAGGAAATGCAAATGGCCAACAGGCATATGAAAAAATGTTCAACATCACTTGTCATCAGGGAAATGCAAATCAAAACTACCATGAGATACCATCTTACACCAGTGAGAATGGCACATATTAAAAAAACTAGCAACAACAAATGTTGGCGAGGATATGGAGAAAAAGGAACTCTCCTGCACTGCTGGTGGGAGTGCAAACTGGTCCAACCACTATGGAGAGCTGTGTGGAGATTTCTTGACCTACTAAACATAGAGCTTCCATAGGATCCAGCAATTCCACTCCTAGGTATTTACCCAAAGGACACAGAAACATCAATTCCAAAGACACCTGCACCCCTATGTTTATAGCAGCACTGTTTACAATAGCGAAGCTTTGGAAACAACCCAAATGCTCAAAAATGGATGACTGGATCAAGAAGATGTGGTACATATATACCATGGAATATTACTCAGCATTCAAAAAAGATAAACACATGCATTTTGCAGCAACATGGATGGCGCTGGAAGGGATCATGCTCAGCGAAATAAGCCAGAAAGAAAAAGAAAAATACCGGATGGTCTCACTCATAGCAGGAATCTAGAAAACTTAAATAAGGGACCAGGAAAATGAATAACTTAAGAAAGTGAAAATCAAAATCAACAAAAAACTATGAACCAGAGACAGTTTTTGGGGAGTGGGGGGCAGGAGGGGAGGGATTGGGGTCAGAATGGGGGGGTTGCAAATGTATGGGGAATATAAAAATAAAATTTATTATTTAAAAAATAATAATAAATAAATAAATAAATAAGCCCAGGACTGAAAGGCAGAAGAATATATCTTTGTCACTAAGTGATAGGAAAATGCACCCCAAGTGCTCTTCAACAGGAATCCACCATCCCTTACAGACCATCAGTCAAAATCTTGCTCAGACCCCTCCTTTTCGCTGCTTCTCCAAAAACCTTTCTCTCCACCAGTACCTCTACAGATTCCAGTTCCTCTTCAGGCCCCATCCCACACTCCCTTCAAATCCTTGCCCACTCTCCTTCCCTCGGGGAGGCCCTGCCTTTAATCTCTCCTCTTCTTGTGGGCACACTGCAGTCAAAGAGTGAGTGGCCTTTTGGGAGAGGAAGGAGATGAGGTCAGAAAAGGTTGGGTCCTTTCTCCTAGGAAGTCTAGGGAGGTCAGTGGGCATCTCCATGTGCAAAGGTCAGAGATAGGGGTAAGTATACAAGAGGTGTATACTGTGGGTGACCTACCCCACAGTTCCACAAGAACCACCAAAGACACAACCCTTAAAGCCTTCCCTGGCTTGAAGTGGCTCTGAAGTCCTTGTAGATCTGGCACTGCAGGTGACAGGAGCCAGGGCCCAGCTGGAAGTCAGGTCCCTGGACATATCGGTTGGCCTTGAGGAGTGACATCAGTCCTGCCACCTGCCAACGCACAGACTGGGCTTCCGGAGACTGTGATGCTAATCACGTCTGTTACTGTGTTGTTTGTGGCAAGACTCCAAGCTTTGAAAAGAAATCTATAGCCCAAGTTATTTTCCTCCAACAGGGCTTGCCTGGCCTTTGATCATTGGCTTTAGGGAGGTACATTTTTCCCTCCTCTGTATGGGCAAATTCCCCCCGAGTCAGCATGATGTGTATCTGGGCTCAGCCACTGGCATCTATGGCTCTGAGAGAGCTGGTGGCCAGCACCACCAGGCACTGCTCCTCCCTGGCGCTGACGGGGCCCGAGACACCCATGGGCTGCCATCGTCCCTCCATGTATCTGCAGCCTGGTCACTGGGGCTCATTGTGAACCCTTTTCTGGTAGATGCTGAATGTAGCCCCTTTGTGCAGTGCAGGATAAGTTTAGCCCACCGCCCCCCTCCCGGGGCTCACAAGCTGGCTCCAGGCCCCCTGTGCATGCACCCTGTTCTGTTCTCAAGTTTTTAGACACTAAGCAATCCAACATTCAAAATATTCTACATGGACCTAACAGGCAGATTCTGCTATTTAGTCCCCTTTTCACAAATGAAGGAAATGAGGCACAAAAATGTTGACTTTCTCATGGATACACAGTTACTGAAAAGAGTCAGATATGCAAACTCCAGAATGTACCCCACTGAGAAGGGGATGCCCTGGCAGCTCTCTGCAGAGATTCAAAGAAGAGCACATTCAAGATCCTCAGGGGACTGGCCCCGCCCCCCCTCCTGTCTCTCCTCTATGCACAATTCTCTCCCCCTCCTCCCACTCCAAATCTTTAACTTAATGGACTCAGCTATCTCTTTGTCTGCACACTCAGATTTGCTAGAAAAACTGAAAAGAAAGGGGGAAATCGATGCTTTAAATTAGAAGGTTATCAACTCTCCCTCTGGGTCCCCAAGTTGCCTTCACGGTATTAAACATCAGCACACACTACCCCATACTATGCTAGTATGGTCCCCCCCAACCCCGGTCCTATACCTTTGACTGAATAAGTCAAAGATGGACCATACGATCAAATCATGTGGTCAGTCCATTATCTGTTCTCTCCCCTGTGACATGTCTTAGAACAAAAAGAGGACCCAGGCCAGTTCTCTCTCAGGAACACAAATAGTAGGTAAAGAACTGGCAGCAAGAGCCAAAGCTAAAAATGTGCACTGAGCACCATAAAGCTCTTGAACTGTCTTAGCAAAGCAAAAGATCCAAATAAGCTGCACGTGTTACAATTGATTGCTATACCTCTCTAGACACCCCTTCTCATTCTGTTTCCTTATTTTTTTTTAAGATTTATTTATTTATTTATTTATTTATACAAGATTGATTGATTGATTGATACAAGCACTGGGTACAGTCAGAAGCGCAGGAGGGTGAGAGAATTCACCAGAGCCAGAGCGGGGAGCAGAGCAGGCAGAAGGACTGAAGTACACTGCTGAGGGGAGCAGCGGGCGGCAGGAGAGGTCTGCGCACCATGTGGGACCCTCCTCTGGTGGCTGGGGAGCAGCCGGGGATCGAACCGGTGCTGCAGAGGCTGCGGGTAGTTTAACAACCCAGCTCTCAACCGCTGCGCCACCAGGGAGGCCCCTGTTTCCTTATTTATAGAAGAAACTGCTTCCCACAGTCTGGATTGTGCTGACTGTATCCATATGGTGTCCTTTGACAAATTTCTCTGTCTCCTATACACTGGCCATAAGATCTAGAACCCTGATCTAATCTAGTTTTCTTTTTGAAAGTCTGTGATATAAATATCAGTAGGTATATATGCCAAGCTGTCTCTCCTTTTTTGATATTAGCAATTATTGATGATTGCTCACAAAAAAGTTACTAGAGGCGTCAAACTGGTAATATTTTAATTCTATCATTCCTTCATTTTCTATTCCAGAATATTTCTATAAGGAAATACTTTTTGTCGACTCTTTGGTTAGAAAAGCAGGACAAGTTCTGGGTTTTCCCCCTTATTTATTAGTGTTCAAAATAATAGACTGGATACTTGCTCCAAAAGTGACTGATGTTGGTTCTTTGTAATGAAGTTATGAATGTAGATATACTTGAAGTGTTTCAATCCATTTCAGTTCTTATTCATATAGATGCTCAAGCTGGCCCTTCTCTAATCAGTTAAACCTTTTCGAGTTGGTTTCTCAGCCCTTTCAACATAGCCCCAGAAGTCTTTGATAGTTTCCTTGCTATTTTTATAACAAGCTCTTCCAGGTTCATCTAGAACATGAGGTTAGCAATTTCTCTAAGAAACCCTCTTCCCTGCTGACCATATTGTTAGAATTTGCATGAGACTCGCTCCCACCCCTGTCTTTGACCCTGTCTACATCCCTCCTTGCATGTTCCCCAAAGACCTTCATACACAGCCTCACCCGGGGACAGCTCCCTATGCCCCATAATATAAATTTCCAGGGAATCGTTGTTGCACTATAGGCCACTTTAATTCACTTACATTTTTGTGTGTGGAATTCAGGAATAGCTCAACTGAACAGTTCATCTCTGA